GTGTGTGTTATTATTGTCATTATCATTTTGTGTGTGTGTGTGTGTGTGTGTGTGTGTGTGTGTGTGTGTGTGTGTATGTGGTGCTGAAGATTGAACCCAAGGCCTCAAAGACTTGGCTAAGCAAGCTACATCTCTAGCCCTTAAAATTTCAAATAAAATGTTTAATATGAGATATAAGTTCATTCAGGGGTAGAAAAAAAGAGTGAGATGAAATTTGAATGTGGCAAAAGTTTGTTGTTTGAGAGGAACAGTCAGTCATGCCTGAGCTGTTACTCTAAACAAGTACGACTTTTCATCAATGTGCCCAGCAGCCAAGGTTTTTGTGGAGCTTTTGGAGCTTGGCCAGCAGGGGGCGACTCCAGGCCACCGGTACTTCATCTCTATGTCATCAGCTCTGAGTGTGAGACTGTATAGAAGTGTCATGCTTGGATACGACAGAAACACAAGGTATAAATTACATTTTTTAAGAAAGGGTCTCAGGGCTAGAGAGATGGCTCAGCGGTTAAGAACACTGGCTGTTCTTACAGAAGACCCGGGTTTGAATCCCAGCGCCCATATAGTGGCTAACAACTGTCTATAACTCCAGTTCCAGGGGATCTGACAGCCTCGGATGTTTTCTTTTTAGAAATATTTATTCTAGCCGGGCGTGGTGGTGCACACCTTTAATCCCAGCACTCGGGAGGCAGAGACAGGCAGATCTCTGTGAGTTCAAGGCCAGCCTGGTCTACATAGTGAGTTCCAGGACAGCTGGGGCTACAGGGAGACCCTGTCTCAAAAAGACCAAAAAAAAAAAATTATTCTTGGGGCTGGAGAGATGGCTCAGTGGTTAAGAGCACTGACTGCTCTAGCAGAGGACCCAGGTTCGGTTCCCAGCACCCACATGGTGGCTACCAACCATCCTTAACTCTAGTTCCAGGGGAATCTGAAGCCCTCTTCTGACCTCCATGGCATTGCATGACACAAGTGCACTCACATACATGCAGGCAGTACACTTGTACACATAAAATAAAAATAATAAAATACAAAAAAATTCTTTCATTTTCATTTATGTGTACATTGTGTGTATTTGTGTGGAAGTCATCTCTCTAGCCCCATTGGACATTTTTATTTTTATTTTTTTTTGGTCTTTTTGAGACAGGGTCTCCCTGTAGCCTCAGCTGGCCTGAAGCCTGCTATGTAGACCAGGATGGCCTTGAACTCACAGAGACCTGCCTGCCTCTGCCTCCTGAGTGCTGGAATTAAAGGTGTGTGCCACCATGCCTGGCCTCCCATTAGACATTTTAAACACTGTTTTAGCATCTGTGTTCCTCGTGATGGCAAGGTGCTGCCCTGAGGTCCTGTATAGCAGTTCAGGTGCTTCTAGATGGAAAGGTTGTCCATTCACAGGGGGGTGTGTACATGTGTCCAGCAAATGGACTCTCCCTAGAGCAGGTACTCTGCCCTCCTTTCCCACAGAGATGTGGGGAGCTTAGCTTGTAGTTGGCTTCCTACTTGTCTGACTACTATATGATACCACTTCCAGATACCCAGTACAACACACTTCTGGTTGACACCCACAAATATCTTTTCAGTACTGAGAGATGATCAAATTTGAGACCTAAATCACTCCTTTCAGACCTCCTAGGTTTAGGGAAACTGCCTTTCCTGTGTATCCCCACATCACTTTTCCCCCTTTGAGTTACATCTTACTCTTCTGAATGAAGAAGTCACAGCTTTTCTTACCACAAAACCTGTGAATACATTGCTGATTTTAAGTTTCCCTGACTGGATAATTATTTCAGAACTTGGAATAATTGAAATATATTTGAGAAATATAAACCCTGGGTAAATGTTTCTTCTAAATTCATTTGTTCTCTCTCTCTCTCTCTCTCTCTCTCTCTCTCTCTCTCTCTCTCTCTCTCTCTCAGTGAACCCATCTTAGCCTCACACATGCTAAGGAAATACTGTACCACTAAGCCCTATCCCCAGCCCTAAAAATCTGTTGACAGGGACTGAGGAGATGGCTCAGCAGTTAAGAGTGCATACTACTCTTAGAAAACGCCAGAGTTTGGTTCCCAGTACCCACTTTGCATGACTTAAAACTGCCTGTTAACTCCAGCTCCAAGGGAACAGATGCCTTCTTCTAGACTCTGTATTTACACACATTAAAAAAAAAAATCTGAGCTGGGGCATGGTGGCACACACCTTTAATTCCAGCACTCAAGGAGGCCAGAGGCAGGCTGATCTCTGTGAATTTGAGGCTAGCCTGGTCTATATAATGAGATCCTGAGTGGTGGGATTAAAGGTACTCACTGTGACACCAGCTATTTTTTTTAATTAAAAAAAATAAAGGAAAAAAAATCAAATAATGAAACGAACACTGTGGTTTGAATGCAGGATGCCTGAGGTTTCTGATGCACTTTGTCCCTTGGATGTCACCAGCGCCCCTTTGCTGTGGACTGTGGACATTAGCTGATACTATGAGTTTAGACAACTGTTTTCCCTGGTTTAAAATGAGCTTTGGTCTCCCTCAATATCAGTTAGTCTGGGGGTGGCAGAACCCTGTGTGAAGAATAAAACCACACCCCAGCTCAGATCCTGGAGGGATAGCACCTGGGGTGATGCCTGCTCTCAGGCTCTCTGAACTTCCTGTGACTTGTCCTGAGTATGGGTCACTGTGTCCTTGGTGGGACCGACACACATTAGGAGCACTCTCATCACCAGTCTTTAAGTCTAGAGACAGGCCAATGTGGGTGCCTTTGTTCTGGGCCACAGCCTCAGCACCTACCCAGTGCCTTGCTACAAAGGATGAGAAGACAGTCTAATGTGGTGTCACTAAGGTCTTGGGCTGGCATGTTTTGAATCTGTCGGTGCATAGCACAAGGAACACAGGCAAGAGTCAGGCAGTGTCTGTATAGCACCAGGTCAGCTGAGAAGAAGGAAGCCCCACTATGAGAAGGAGACAGGAGCTGGGGACTCTGGCACTCCGAGGGAGGGGAAGGAACTGTTTCCTGTTTTATTTCCCCAGCCTGTGAAATGGGAGACAGTTACTGCTTCCTCCCAAAGACATTTGACAGGTCATTTCAGGTGGTGACTAGAGGAGGGTACAAGTATTGACATGCATTTCAGTAAGTCAGTAATAGAATGATGCTAGGCCTAGTGGTGCATACCCGGATCTTAGCTCTGGGAAGGCAGAAACCAGAGGACTGAGAGTTTGAGGCCATCTAGAACTACATAGTGAAACACTGTCAAAAAACAAGGGCTAGAGTGCTTGCTTTCACAGCAGGTATAGTAAAATCCGAACAGTAGAGAGATCAGCATGGCCCCTGTGCAAGCATGATACAAAGAATTAAAAAACAACAGCAAGAGCTAAGGTTATAGCTCAGTAGTAAAAATGCTTGCCTAGCATGTATGGGGCCCTGGGGTCAGATCCCCCCCAAAGTGATCCAAATCCCCTTCCTGTGTGGAGAACCCCCCCCACACACACCCCCAAGTGATCCTAATCCCCTTCCTGTGTGGAGGGGCTGCATGAGTCTACAGGAAGCTACCAGAGGAAGGATTACATTTAGTGTAACTCCCCTCTGCAAAGTGCATTTTGTGAGCACAGCCACTGACTGATCAGCTGGGTATGTGTGGAGTGTTTAAGGGGGAAAGATGGTACTTTAATGTTAAGTACCCTTTTCAGACAGTCTTAGGGATTGGATCTGTCCCCAAAGAATTCAAGTGTCAAAATCTTGGTCCCCCCAGGACCTCAGAATGTGACCTTGTTTGGAAATATGGTTGTTGCAGATGCAATTAGTGAAGATGAGATCATTGGGGGAGGCCCTGGGTCCCACTAGGAGTGGTGTCTTTCCAAAAAGAAGAAATTTGGACACAGACAACAGACAGGCAGAGATGGGATGATATGCCACAAGCCACAGAACACCTTGGCAACACCCAAGGCTGGTAGCGAGGGTCTTGTTGGTTTTGTTCCCAGACTTCAGTCTCTGGAGCTGCATGAAGGTACAGTCAGTGTGAGGACCAGAGTGACCAAGTCAGGAAAATCACCACGTATTCTATGATTCCCCTCTCTTCCCTTCCCTTCCCCTTTCCCTTCCCTCTTTCCTTCCCTTCACTTCTCTCCCCTCCCCTCCCTTCCCCTCCCTCTCCCTCCTCCTCCCTCTCCCTCCTCTCCTTCCTCCTCTTCCTCCTCTTCCTCTCTTCCTCTCTTCCTCTTCCTTGCGCTCTCTCTCTCTCTCCTCTCTCTCTTTGAGTCTTACTGTGTATCACTGGCTGGCCTGGAATTCACTTTGTAGACCAGGCTGGCCTTGAACTCATGGTGATCCACCTGCCTATGCCTCCTGAGTGCTGGGATTACCGGCATGTACCAGCATTCCTGGATTTATTCTGTGGTTCTCAATGTGGTACTGTCTTTACTGAGGGGTTAACTAGGAGAATTAGCTGCTTTTGCTATGTTCTATGAACGCTGGAAGCCCCTGAAAATCTGGCCTGTGAGTACTGGTGATGGGCAGTGAGTGACCCAAAACAGAACTTCCCCACCCTCTGAAATTGGTTTAAATTCAGAGGTTTGGAAATTTTTTTTTCAAGTGTGAGGGATAAAGGCCACAGGCTAAGTCATTTAATCTAGCTTTTCAGTTTGGATGAAAACATTATTTTGTCTACTGATGAGTGGTTTTATTTTGCCTGTGTGTGTTGACTGTTGTATATAGGATTCTGTCCAGACCCCAAGTCCATTATGAATCTAACGGTGCTTCAGACATCTTGCCTAGGGACAGAATTGATGCCGCCTGTTGTTTGCTGTCTGAGTGGGTCATGGCCCAGTGCTCCCTTAGCATACCTGTGCTACAGGACCTAGAACTTATGTGTGCTCTGTCCCACTGTGTCTACTCTGTCCCAGCTTGGCAGCTTGTGTGCCAGGTGGATACTGGTCTTTGTCATGTGCTCAGTTGTCATCCATGTGGGCTGATTTCACAGCACCTGTGTTTCATGCGTGGGTAACCCTTCCCATCTTCTCCCCACAGAATCTCTAAAAGAGGCAGCAGCAAGACTTTCAGATGAACAACCGAAAGGAAGATATGGAAATCACGTCCCACTACCGGCACCTGCTTCGTGAGCTCAATGAGCAGAGGCAGCACGGTGTTCTGTGTGACGTGTGTGTTGTGGTGGAGGGCAAGGTCTTCAAGGCACACAAGAACGTCCTGCTTGGGAGCAGCCGCTACTTCAAGACCCTCTATTGTCAGGTGCAAAAGACGTCTGACCAGGCCACGGTCACCCACTTGGACATTGTCACAGCCCAGGGCTTCAAGGCTATCATCGACTTCATGTACTCTGCCCACCTGGCCCTTACCAGCAGGAATGTCATTGAGGTTATGTCAGCTGCCAGCTTCCTACAGATGACAGACATCGTGCAGGCCTGCCATGATTTCATCAAGGCCGCACTGGACATCAGCATCAAGTCAGATGCGTCAGATGAGCTCTCAGAGTTTGAGATTGGTACCCCAGCCAGCAGTAGCACAGAGGCACTGATCTCAGCTGTGATGGCTGGAAGAAGCATCTCCCCATGGTTGGCACGGAGAACAAGTCCTGCCAATTCTTCAGGAGACTCTGCTATCGCCAGCTGTCACGAAGGAGGGAGCAGCTATGGGAAGGAGGATCAGGAGCCCAAGGCTGATGGCCCTGATGATATTTCTTCACAGTCTCTGTGGCCTGGAGATGTGAGTTATGGGTCTCTACGCATCAAGGAAGAACAGATTTCGCCATCACATTATGGAGGGAGTGAGATTCCATCCTCCAAAGACAGTGCAATACAGAGCTCTTTCTCAGAGCAGGGTGCTGGGGATGGCTGGCAGCCCACAGGTAGGAGGAAGAATCGGAAAAACAAAGAGACTGTCCGACATATCACGCAGCAGGTGGAGGAGAACAGCCGGGCTGGCTCCCCGGTGCCCTCGTTCTTGCCCACATCAGGATGGCCGTTCGGCAGCCAAGACTCAAGTAAGCCTGCCTTTGAGATAGGCTGGGTGCAGCCAGCCCAGGGCATTGTATTGTTGGCCTCATGGCTGTGGGTGAAGTGGCCCGTTTCCACTAGTGGTCACTAGAGCTGACACTAATGGTCACCCTTTTCATGGTAAATTGATATGACTACAGAGAATATGACCTCATATCTTAAAGGCCAGGATGACTTAGGGGCCTAATAGAGCCCTGGTGTGTCCATCCCATCGGTACAGTCCCAGCATGCTGAGGTCACCTGGGTGGTGCTCCTCTGAAGCCAAGAAGACACCACTGCAGGGTCTGTAGCTAGAACAGTGGGGAGACTATCGGGGGGATCTCTTCTGTTCCAAGTTGGGTTGGGGCTTGGCTGCCTTTCCTTGTGCATGAGACCGCCTTTGACATTGACTGGGCCGCTTGGCCAGCCACTAGAGTGGCTGTCAGGTCTGTTGCTTGCCTCAGACTTTGGTTTGGTCCTTGTAGTACTTGTTCCTCAGTTCTTCACTGCCTTGAGCTGAGATGCTGTAGCTGAAGAATAACCTCACAAGTGAGGGAAAGTGTTCTCTAGTGTGAGTTCCCGCAGTGCATTTCAGACTAACAGGCAAGGTGTTTCTTCCTGATAACCAGACATCATAGCACAGTTCAAGGGACTCCTGTGTGGAACTCGCTCCTCTTGTTTCCAGGAGTCCAAGCTTCACAGCCTGCATGAGAGTTGGGGTGTCCATGTCCCTGACTAGCAGATAATGGATACATGGTTACTGAACACTAAGCACTGTTTTGATGTTGAGTAGTAATCATAACTTATGCTCAGCTCTTCCTGAGTTGAGCAGGTGGGAACAGAGTGAACATAAAGCACAAATTGTGGGGTCTTGAACCCTGAAAAATGCTGCGAATACTAAGGGTACTTATGTGCCACTCTTGGGTGCTATCTGTTCTCTCTGCCTCAAGGGTTCTTGAGCAGGGTGTGTGGGGCCCCCAAGACTTTGGACTTTTCTCCTTAGGAGAATCTGGAACATCTTGGGAGCTGGAGGGGAGGAGGCAGGAAAATTTCCCTGAGGGTCCATCCTATGCTAGTAGTCAGCTAGAGCTCCATCACCACTATAACTTTTCTTTTTTTAAAGATTTATTTTTTATGAGTGTTTTGCCTGTATGTATGTATGGGTACCATGTGTATGCCCAGTGCCTTCCAAGGCTAGATTAGGTTGTGTGATTCCCTGGAACTGCAGTTATAGACCGTTGTGAGCCACCATGTGGGTGCTGGAACTGTACCTGAATCCTCTATAAGAGCAGCAAGTGCTCTTAACCATTGAGCCGTCTTTCCAGCCCCAATATTGCTTTTCTTATTGGAGTAAATGTGATTAAATTTTATCCTTATCAACCAAAAACTGTGCAGCTCATTGGTCTTAAGCATATTTTCAACTATCTCTACTATCCTTCTCCAGAACGTTTTCCTTCTTCCCAAAAGGAAACTCTGTATCATTCAAACAATACTTTACAGCCCTGTCCTGGAAACCCTTGACACACTGTTGCTCATTCAAGTTCTCAGGGCTGATGGCTCAGTAGGTAAAGGCTCTTGCTGTACAAGCCTAACAACCTGAGTTTGATCTCTAGAACCCACATAAGGGTGGAACTGACTCCACAAAGATGTCCTCTAACCTCCACATGAATTTTTAGAGGACACACACACACACACACACACACACACACACACACAAATTATATATATATATATATATATATATATATGTCTTTTTGAGATAGGGTCTTCCTGTAGCCCCAGCTGACCTGGAACTTGCTATGTAGACCAGGCTGGCCTCGAACTCACAGAGATCCACCTGCTTCTGCCTCCCAAGTGCTCGGCTTAAAGGCGTGCGCCACCACGCCCGGCCAATATATTTTTATTTTATGTGTATGAGTGTTTGCCTGCATGTATGTAAGTGCATCCTGTAAATGTAGTGCTTGTGGAGGCCAGAAAAGGGTGTCAGATCCCCTGGAACTGGAATTATAGTTAGTCATGAGCTGCCACGTGAATGCTGGGAACCAAACTGGGGTCCTTTTCCTAGAACAGCAGGTATTTTTACCACTGAGCCATCTCTCCAGTCTTGGTCCTTGTAATATATATATAATTTTTTTTTTTTGGTCTTTTGAGATGAGGTTTCCCTGTAGCCTTAGCTGGCCTGGAACTTGCTATGTAGGCTGGCCTGGAACTCACAGAGATCCACCTGCCTCTGCTTCCTGAGTGCTGGGATTAAAGGCATGTGCCACCATGCCCAGTTGGAAAAAATTTTTAATTACATGTAATTTTTAAATATTTTATTTATTAAGCCGGGCGTGGTGGCACACACCTTTAATCCTAGCTTTTTATTTTATGTGTATGAGTGTATTGCCTGCATATATGTGAGTGCACTGTGTTGTGCAATGCTGCAGAGGTCAGAAGATGGCTTCGGATTCCCCTGGAACTGGAGTTAAGGACGGTTTGTAGCTGCCGTGTGGGTGCTGGGAATTGAACCCAGGTCTTCTGCAAGATCAGTCAGTGCTCTTAACCACTGAGCCATCTCTCCAGCCCATAATTACATGTAATTTTAAAAAATTACACTACAAGCTGAGTGTGGTGGTGCACGCCTTTAATCCCAGTACTGAGAGGCAGAGGCAGGCAGATCTCTGTGAGCTCAAGGCCAGCCTGGTCTACATAGCGAGTTCCAGACCAGCTGCAGCTACAGGGAGACTCTGTCTAAAGAAGACCAAAAATAAATTTTTTTTCTAAGTTCTCATCATCCTCTGCTTCCAACACTGAGCCACCATGTATAGAGCCAGACGCTGGCATGTTCGTAAAAGTTGGTTTTGCTCAGTGTTGCTCTACCTCAGGCTGAGTCATTCTCTGTGGGGGTGTCCTGGGAATGGGAAGATACTGATCACAGTTCCTGGCCTGCATCTATAAGGTGGCATTTGCCTCTGTTGGGACAATCACAAATGGCTCCTGACGTGGATACATGTCCCCCAAGTAGCTGCTGCCTCCCCTAGGGCTGGACTAATCTTAATCACAAGAATATCAGTCATTTCTTGCTCACCATTCCTGTGGAGAGTACTCATGGCAGTAGACAGGGATGGTGATGTCTGTCTTTGGCTTTGTTTAGAATCTTTTATCAGCTCTAATCCAAACCTGGTGAATGCTGAGGCTTTGTGGGCACATTCTGAGGCTCACAGATCTTGGGAACCATCCTCTACCCCTGTCCCAGAATACCTGTGCATGCCCAGTGAGTCACCCTTTAGGTAACAATGCTGGGAGCATGTATGTCATAGAGTCAATGGCAAATTACGAAGTGGAATGCTCCCAGAGCTTGTGGGCTGGAGGTTTCAGACACAGTTGGCGAGCAGAAGGTGTTTTCAGAATCCAACAAGTGATTTTGGCTGTGTACTTTCCTTAGTCTTAAATCCTTGGGTTGCTAAGGAAACAGTGAACCACTTCTGCTCAGGGATTCTGAGGGCTGAGACAAGGATGTGAGGTGTGGGCTGGAGCGTGGGATGCTTCCTGCATGTCATAGTGATGTGTCATTCCCTGAGCCTCTGCTACCCTGTCCCGCAGGCTGAGATTAGGAAGCATAAGTCATGACACCTGATTGAAGTCAGTTTGTTTTCATTACAGACTTGGAGGAGATTTATATTTCACTTGTAAGAGGAAAGGCTCTTTTCTGAAGACATGTGTCAAGCAGATACATGGCAGATGCTATTTGGAGCTCTCTATGCAGTTGCTTAGATGTGAAGTCCTCTGATCAGGGCTACCTGTTTTGTTCCTTCTAGCTGTCCCCACCTTGATTTCTGGTAATCCCTGAAACCATTTAGCTTTTATGAGTGATTTTCTATGCAAAAAGTTATGTACTATAACCCAGCAGATCTGAAGAAACAATGTTTGTTGAAATTGACTTCATTTATGTGATAGCTGGTAGGAAATGGCATTAAAACATGTACATTAGTGGTACGCATCCATGTAATGAACAGAGGCAGGTCTTCTCGCTGGGCTGTCACCATCTTTCCTGGGCCATCCTAGGATGGGGCCTTCTGCATCCATGTGCAGAGAGAGGTCAGTGACAATCCCCAGGGTGGCTGGTGATGGTTCCATGGAATGGAGATGGAACAGTACCTACTAGCTAAGGAGTGTTGAAAATGGAAACAGCCCAGGACCCTAGCCACATTCATTCCTAAAATGTTCTGCAAGAATCAAGAAGTGTATCTATCACAAAGTTGAAGATTTTGTAGAGTTATGCTGAACTTTAGAATGGGGAAACCTCTACTTGTTGGGATTCTTTCTTTCTTTCTTTCATCTCTCTCTCTCCGCTCTCTCTCTCTCTCTCTCTCTCTCTCTCTCTCTCTCTCTCTTTCTTTCTATCTCCTTTTCTCTCTTCTCTCTCTTCTCCTCTCCTCTCTTCTCTTCTCTTTTCTTTCTCAGGATCTCACTATGTAGCTCTGGCTAGTATGTAGACCAGGCTGTTCTTAAACTCACAGAGATCTGCCTGCCTCTGCCTTCCAGTGCTGGGATTAAAGACTTGAGCCACACCTGGCATGTTGGGATTCTTGAGAACACATTGGGACTACAGTGCAACTCCAGATAGAGATACAGACCCTCTGGGGTCCAGCGCTGGCCATGCCCTGCAACCCCTCCTTGATTTGGGGGATAGGTGATGAGTTCTCAAGATGAGGCTCTTTTCACTCCCTCTAGACCAGGTACAACCCACATTTCTCTTCCCAGCTCATCCCTGTCTGTGAATGGGAGCCCCAAGGGATTGGTTCAAGGTGTCTTGGACTGTCATAGCCATCCTGGTCCATACCACATGCATGAGAGGGCTTGCTGCAGGAACTTATCCTGTGAGCTTATTTCTGTGCTGCCCACATGCAGGTTTCACAATCCGGCCACAGGTGTGCGAAGTACCCTACGCATAGCAGTCCTGCTAGTGCTGACTGGGCTTGCATGTCCCCTGCACTCTTGATGAGGTCACCTTTTCATGTTGTCATTTAGATAGCATAGCAAATTTGATCATCTCTGTAAAGAAAATCATCTGTGCTTAGCATGGCTTTGAGGGGAAAGGTGACACTATCTGCTTCAGTCTAGCCACATCCCACATCCCACACCCCACATCCCACAGCACTGCTTGTGAGCACCACCTTTGGTTACCTGCTCTGCTCATTATCTTGCCCATGACTGACAGCATTTCCTGCAATCAGCTCTGATTGGACTGTGTTATAGTCTGTCAGGGATGGTTTTGTTGATGTAAGGACCTGGTACTGAGGTGGTGGAGTTCAGCACACCTTCCTGTCAATCCTGGGAAAGACAATACTGATGCCATAGACTGGGAAAGGAGGCAAGTATAAGCAGGAGTTAGAGCCAGGAGTACTATAAGAGGGGGCATTCAATGACTTGGAAACTGGCAGTGCTTATGCTAGAGAGGCTCTGGTCAGACTCAGCTGTACCCAGTAAACATGCAGTGACTTTTCACCTGGGCGTAGGAAGTCTCAGTCCTAAGACCCTTCCCTTTGGCACCTTTGGGCAATCTTCAACCAAGACCTGTGATACTGCAGGGTCCCATTGCTCCCCCC